AGCCCAGGCCCTGATGGGTTTACCCTACTTTACTATAAATGTTTCCAAGACATCCTGGCCCCTCACTTTTACACTTATGTTAATACAATCTCTGCGAATTCCCCCATGCGCCCAGAGTCACTCCTGGCCCACATAACGGTAATAGCCAAACCCGAAAAAGATCCCTCGAACTGTGCCAGTTACCGCCCTATCTCGTTGCTAAACATAGACATCAAGCTGTACGCTAAGATCCTGGCGAACAGGCTGTATCCGCTCCTTCCGTCCTGGATTCACCCGGATCAAGTGGGCTTTATCCTTGGCAGGGAAGCCAGGGATAACGCTCTTAAATCTCTTTCCTTGATACACATCGCCAGAGAACAAAAGTCCCCTACGCTGCTCCTTTCCACCGACGCGGAGAAAGCGTTTGACAGTGTGGCGTGGCACTTCCTCCTAGCCACCCTGTCCCACCTGGGCCTGGGCTCTCGGATGACGGAGTGGATTTCAGCTCTGTACGCCAACCCTGTTGCTAAAATCCGCATTAATGGGTCCCTGTCCCCCTCTCTTACTCTATATAATGGCATGAGACAGGGATGCCCCTTATCACCTTTCCTATTTGCTTTCTCCTTGGAACCACTGTTGGCCACCATAAGGAGTAACCCAGACATCCAGGGCGTGCAAACACCTGCAGGCGAATTCAAATTGGCAGCATATGCTGACGACATCTTGTTCTATGTCCAAAATCCACGAATATCCCTGCCACAAATTTTGACGGCACTCAACGAATACGGCTCCCTCACCAATTTTAAAATTAACATGGGGAAATCGGAGATCCTTAATTTAACGCTGCCGCAGGACGAAAGCCGAGCACTCCTCCCCCACTTCCCCTTTCAATGGCGCCCTCACTCCCTCCGATATCTGGGCATCCACCTGACTCGTAGACCCCAAGACCTCTACCGTTATAATTTTATTCCCCTCCTGAACCTGGTAAAAACGGACCTGGCCTCCTTCGCGGTGCGTTCCTTACCCTGGGTAGGCAGGATTAATGCTGTAAAGATGATGATCCTCCCCAAAATTCTGTTCTTGTTCCAGATGCTCCCTATAGCCCTACCTAGCTCATACTTGGGGACCCTCGCCAGGATAACCTCTACCTACATCTGGCAGCACCGCGCTCCTAGGATATCAGGTCGGAATACTAGTTAGGACCCGCCGGAACGGGGGGCTGGCCCTCCGTGATTTCCGAATCTACCACGCAGCTGCCCAGATGGTAAGTGTGGTGGACTGGGTATATGGGGGCCATGGAAAGGGTTGGGTGCCCTTGGAGACTGCGGCCAGTGGTGCCCTCCTGTCTGAGGTGATCTGGTTACCCCCTAAGTGGAGACCTCTGGCTTCTACCACCTTGCCTCTGACCTCCTCCACGTTGCACACCTGGGACCGCTTGCACCACAGGTACCGATGGCCCCACAACTCAGTCCTCATGCCCCTGCAGGGCTCTGACTACTTCCCGCCGGGAAAGGTGGACAGATCCTTTGCACGGTGGACGGACTCCCCTACCCTGAGGTTGTGTGATGTATTACATGGGGATACTTTACTCTCCTTAACCGACCTAAGGGCCTGTTGGGGAAGGGTACCCCTGGATTCCTGGAAACACCGCCAACTATCTCACTTCATAAGCGCTGTACCAAAGCCACTCAGAAGGCCCCGAGACTTTACCTTTTTTGAAACCATACTTAGCTCCGAATCCGAGCCCACCCACTGTCTATCCCTCTTCTACAAGGCCCTACTTAAATTGGAACATGACACCCCTCCACCATACCTACAAAAATGGGAAGCAGACTTCCAACGAACCCTCACCCCAGATGAAAGATCTTGAATTTTAGCCCTGGTAACGACCTCCTCGATAGATGTACCAATGTTGGAAACAAATTATTAACTACTCTCCAGGTGGTACTACGTCCCCACCAGATTGTATGTAGCTAATCCCCTCCTAGATCCTCATTGTTGGCGGTCGTGTGGGAATCCAGGTTCATTTGCCCACATTTGGTGGGAGTGTCCCCTGATAAGACCATATTGGTCACAGGTCATTCAACTAATTCACCACATATGTGGCGAACAACTCCCATTAGACCCCTGGATATGCCTGTTTCACCTCACCACGGATTCAACCCGATCATATAAGAAGCCAATAGTACCGCTCTTGCTAAACGTGGCCAAATCACTCATCCCCAGACATTGGAGATCAGCCCAAGTCCCCTCCATGCAGGACTGGTTTCGTAAGATCGACAACACTGGATTATTGTAGGAACTAATGCATACCGCTAAGGACTCTTACTCCTCCTTTTACAAAAGATGGGCCTGTTGGCTCGCCTTCAAGAACACGGACACTTACAAATCCCATATACTTGTCCCAGAGAACCAAGCTCAGCCGGACACCTGAGTAGGGCCAACCCAGAAGGTCTCTGAGATACCTATACACGACCTTTCCCCAGCCCTACTCAAGGATAATACCAGGCACGCACGACTGGGAATGGATTGGTTAGAGAGTGCACCTGAAGTCGTGGGTCTTATATGCCGAATACTTGTACTGATTGTTTTCCATAGATTTACAAGTTGATTTAAGAGCGAGGTCTTGACCGGACCCCCCCCCCCCCAATCCGTTTTTCTGTGTGAGTCCACGTCTTCCCCCTGTTCAATGTATTTGTTCTACATGGTACCTAGTCTTTATGCTACTGCTACTAATTGCCTGAATTTGTTATAGAGTGCCATGTAAATGTGACGTGTTACGTTTATTTCATTTTGAAAACTAATAAAACTAAATAAATAAAAAAAGAATGTATAAATCTTTAGCTATTTGATACTGACACAGTTGATGGCAACATCCTGACTCATGAGTAAGGCAGTTAGGGAGTGAGAACAGACAGGCTTGCATAGAGTGCAGTGTCGGTGTTGGTCCCTTTCATATGCAACAGGCAACGGGCTTTGTCTAGTGGAAGGAAGCTGCGCTGTGGCTGAATGCCTAAGTGATATCCCTGTATGCAAATCTATGTGCTGCTGCAGTGTACACTGGGATTGTTTTATGCTCCTGTTTTGCGCATCTTACTGCATTTCAGGGGCTTTTTTTCTATTGGGGTGAGTCCGAACCCTTAACTGTTTATAGAGTGTCATTGCTTGTGGTACGGCGTCGATGAAGGCTGGATTGTATCATAGGTCAGGAAAGCCGCCATGACTTATCAGAGGTGTGCCCAGACTACGGAGCACTGTGTGGTCAATTCCACCTCATACTTACCTGGCAGGGGAGATACCATGATCATGAAGGTGGTTCTCCCAGGGCGAGGCTCATCCATTGCACTCTGGGTGTGCTGACCCTTGCGATTTCCCCAAATGTGGGAGACTCGACTGCATAATTTGTGGTAGTGGGGGACTGCGTTCGCGCTTTCCCCTGATCATTCCTGGTCAAAGACAGTTTCAAGCAATGCATTGTCTCCCATCAGGAGGTCTCATCCTCATTTCATAACTCACTACTGGCATTCTCCTGTACACGGATATCTGTGCCAGCACTACCCACCTGTTGTTGCGTTCTACTTCTGTGAATTCTTAATGCATTAACAGAGTTCCCCGATTATAGGTGTCCGCTGCTGGCTACATCCACCGTTCCGATCTGTATCATCATTGAATGGTTGCCAGAGCTACCGTCCTACTTCTAGCGGCCTCTTCAGCTCATTCCTGACCATGCTCCCTGTGGAATCCCCATTCCAAAGCAAGCCAGCACAGATTACTCTTCAGGGGGGCAGTAGCAAAGCGGGTAGATTTTCCAGTCAGTAGAGTGAAGAGGGATTGTCAGGTCTGGCCGTGCAAGTCAGGGAGAAGATTTGTGCCATGAATGGGCAGCCTTTGACCAGTTGAAGAAAGGCTTTAAAGGCTTTTCACTCACCTCATAGTTCTAGCCGACCTGTGACAATGAGACTGTCACAGGTCGGCTCAGTAGATCGGGAGGTGAGCGAACACATAGCGGCGTTCGCTCACCTCTCGATCCTGTCACGGCTCTCTGCCTTGACAGGGAAGGGGCTGGATTCCCCCCGCTCCGATCCGCCCGCGCTGACTGGCGGATTGGACGGGGGAGGGGGTGGGTACAGCTGGCTCTGCCTCTAGATAGGCAGAGCCAGCTGTCACTCACGCACCTGGGCGGATCCAGACATAATTGTTGGGATCCACTTCAGCTGCGGCGTCTCAGTATACCGCGGGCAGTAGCTTGCGGTATACTGAGCTTAGGGTGACGGGAGGACGCTAGTTTGTGTCCTCCCGTTACGCTGTGTAGTGTTCTATTGCGCTGTATTGCAGTACAGGGTGGATTGTACCCTGATTAGGTATTTGTGTTTTACATATCTATATATAAAGTATATTTTTCAATAGAAAAACACATTTACAGACTTTAGCCAGTGTGGTTACTATTGTTTGTGTGTTTTTATATTTTCACAGCCTATTTCTACTTTCAATTTTGATTTTATGTAGGTGCGAAGGAGGTGTCCATAATGGGGCCATAAAGGGTGTGCTTGGCCAATCCTTTCATCTTTGCCCTAGTATGCCAAACAGGGTCACTCTGAAGAGAATATAACTCCTGCAGTATGTAATGATCCAGATAGCCAATGACTGTGAGATATTCGGGAATGTTCACATCAGTTCATTTTAGGCATGATAGAAAATTTAGCTTGGTATAAAGATGGTTTACCTCCTGACTGCAAGTCTCACTGGTACGAGCAATCTCCATCAAATCATCTGTTCAGAAAGACTCATGGCATTCAGTTTTGGTTTCTTTAACGTTTTCTAGACCATTCTTTTGAGCCAGAAATTCTGTTGCAGAATCATCTTTCTTCCCTTGTCTGTTCGCATGCATATTCAAAATGTCCACATGTTAATAGGGCCTGATATAACATGTCCACACTTTCTTTTTTGTTGGGTCTTTTTTGTTAGAACATGTACAATTGTAAGTATTTAACAGCCGTTCATATTCTGTTTTCCAGGCCTTTTTATATTGACCGATCCGTTGTTACCGGCATTAACGATGACCCTTCACGGGTTACATCCCACGCTTCAGCCATGTACAAACGTATTCATTACTATGGGAAGTTAGGTGCTCCCTCAGAACAGACTTTGGTAAGTTATAATGGGTAATTATATTGCTTTCTAGTTTGTAATCCTACCATAGTTTATTGTTGCTTTCTTTGTGCATATGTCCTGCTGATGCCATTTCCCTTCAAATCTTGTTCTAGTGTCAAAGGAATAGAATATTAGGGGAATTCTCAACTATATGGTCATGGGCAGCAATAAAGGCTGACAAGCCATTTATATGTCCACTATGTTTGAAACAAAAGAAAGTATTTTGTTTGGTGTTGGGCACTAAATCATTATTGTATATTATCAAAGTTGGTCAAATATTGCTTTTATCCCCAATCCAGATGGACCTGGTGATAAACATTTTTGGAGTACAATGGAGAGGGCGTTAGAACCCCTATTAGGAATTTATTGCTGTCTGTGTCTTCTAGGGATGTGTGTGGGCTTGGTGCAAACCATTTTCACCTGAGCAAAATTGTTGGTTTTGGTGTTCCTGGCTCAGTCAGCTGTTGCTGGACCATTTCCTGCCCCACAGCTCTTTTGTGTCCCAGCCACAGCTTCTTTTTGTTTCACATTACATTTCACAATACATTAGTAAAGATATACAAGTAGGAAACTGGTCCTACACCTTCAGATTGGTGCAGTTGTGATATGTCAGGTAAGGATTGTCAACTTAGGAGTTCCCTTCTCTTCCAGAAGGACATGGTCATTTTATCAAGCAGTCTGCTCTGCGTTTTGTTAAATAAAATTATTTCTCTAAGGCATTTTTCCCTGGCTGCCCTTTCCTTCCACAGCTGCTTCTTATGGCTAGCCTTCCTACAAATCCTGAGCCCACAGTGCATACGCATAAATTAATCCACTACAGATTTCACAGTTCTCCTCTTCTCTTCTTGCTCACACTGATATATTTGACAGGTCATGAGGACATTCCCGGAGAATTTTGGGAAGCAATGGTGACACTCTGCTGAGTATAGAGGTGTTCTGTGCAGATAGGCTTCTCGGCCTTTTGGCTAAGATCAAGTGTAGTATCTGTTCTTATCAGTTTCAGAGGGGACAGAACGGCCGTCGTCGTCTATGGAGAGAGGGTGATGGCGGCTTAGTAATTCCTGGGGTAAATCTGATGGGAGCGGGTGCTTGCTTGGTCTGGCTGGAGGGCTGGGAGGAGGCGGAGCCCGTGGTGCTGTGCCCCCTAGGAGTGGTGTCCCAGGGGTGCCAGAGAATCACTTTGGGTGTGTGACCCCAACACTGATTCACTGACACACGGACACGGCATTCATTGCATAATCTGCACAACGCCTTTTGGACAGGCCTTGTGGCTAGTCCGGGGCAATATTTTTGCACTCCGGCCCCTAAGGCCTGTCAGCGTGGTGCACTGGCACTTTAGATTTATTTATGCACTATATGCACGATTGGCACGCTTTTTGATTGAAAATTTGACCCACAGATTGCAGAGGGTGCGGGTACCTTCGGGGCCCATTCCTGATGTAGGGAGGAGATTCTGTGAAGCTCTCTGTCTTCTCCCACCTGTGGGGGGTCTCTCTTCGGGAGAGCCCCCCAACCTAGTACTTGTGGGACCTGTCTCGGAAGGTCCTGGAGGATCGGGGTCTGCCGGCCTTTGGGTAGGTGGACCAAAGTTGTCCTAGCCCCTGTCAGGAGCCTTGCGCCCCGGGGGGTTGAGAAATTGTGGCCCCTTCTTTTCGGAGAAGGACCAAGCACCCTTGTGCACTTTTTTCAGTGTGTTCTGATTTCACGATTCACTTTTTTTTCTTTACAGGGGATTCGTTTTCAAGCATGCTCCACGGGCTGTAAAGGAAAAAAAAAAAAAGCTGGAAAACGCTTTATATGTTCTCATCAGTTTTCGGGGGAGAAAGGCATCGATCCTTCTGGCCACAAACGGAGGGAGAGATGCTTAGTATTCCCTGATGTGATAGGTGGGTTCCGGAGGGGTTTCCTTTCCTCCTGGGTTGATTCTAGTCCGTTCCCCAGGCCGGGCTTTTCCCCAATTGTAGGAGGGAATCCTTCTGGTGCTAATGCCTTCTGGTGGGAATGGAGCTGCATTTGTCTGGCCGGAGGGCTGGGGAGCGGCAGAGGCCCGTGGTGCTGTGCCCCCTGGGGTAGGCGTCCCAGGGGTGCCAGAAAATGACTAGGGTGTGGGACCCCACAAGTGATTCACTGTGCACTTAGTCACGGCACCTACTTGCTTTTTCTGCAATACGCCTCCAGGGCAGGCCTTATGGCTAGCCCGGGGGAATATTTTTGCACTCCGGCCCCTAAGGCCTGTCAGCGTTGTGCACTGACACTAGATTATTTATGCACTTTTTTTATGCACGATTGGCACTTTTTGACTTCATAGAAGACGGATGGTGTGTGTACCTTCGGGACCCATTCCGGATGTCGGGGAGGAGATTCTGTGACCCTTATGGGGCCCCCTTTCTCCTCCCACTCGGGGGTCTCCCTTCGGGGGAGCCCCCAACCAAGTACTCGGTGGACCTGTTTTGGCAGGTCCCAGAGTATCTGGGTCTGCTTGCCTTCGGGTAGGTGGACCTAAGTCGTTCTTGTCCCTGTCAGGAGCCTTGCGCCCCGGGGGGTTCAGGAAATTGTGGCCCTTCTCATCAGAGAGGACCAAAGCACCCTCGTGCACGTTTTTGTGTGTTGTGATTTCACAATTCACTTTTTTTTGTTCACAGGGGTAATGTTTTTTGTTTGCACGCATCCACGGGCTTCAAAAAAAAAAAAAAATTAGCTGGAAACAATTGGGCTCCTGGTGTAGATGTAGTGAGCCTGGATACTTCTCATATATGACTGGTTAAAGGGGGAGTTAGCACAGGCTTCCAGAGAACTGTTCTTGCTTCAGATTGCTGAAATGTTCTTGACAAATACCTGAGCAGAGTCCCCGGCTGGGCTTACACAGCCCGAAGAGTGACGCAGGACAACACCATTTTCCTGTGGCCTCAGCTCCAGGACTAAAGCAGATTGGGCTGGGAAGGGGATGTGCCACCGACAATTTTGCTTGGGCAAATTTGGTTGACACCAAGCCCATGCACGTCCTTAGTGTCTACATCAAGGAGATTCACTCTGTAAATTGTCCTGTGTACCAATGTTACTGGGATTAAAAGTGAGGATAAATCCAAAATTTTGAGTAGTCTCCAGGAAAGGAAGGCAGGTGAATCTTTCAATGCAAACACTTGTTCCTGTGACATTTGGTTAATAGGGGGATTTACCTCACATTGAAAAGATATCCTCTTATTGCCTGTTGAGTCTACAGGGATGGGAAGTGAAGGAAAATCTTTCTAATGAGATGCAGATGGCAAAATAAAACCCCAAACCCACCCTTACTCTATCTAAAAAGCCTTTACTTAAAATATCTTTAATATTTTCTTCCTTAAATATAAAAAAAAAATACAAACTGCATCTTTTACTTGTTTAGTTATTTTTATTGTGAATCATTCAGAAATGTTTTGTTTTAGTCAGGTAAATATTGGATATTTATTAAACTTCATTTCACATTCTTGTGCAGTTTCTCCTTACTGTCCTTGTTGTAAAAAGCTAGATGTTTAGAGTGCTCAATAGCTCAAGTTAAAATGTACTTAAACAACTAAATCATTCAACATAGTGACACGTCATCCTCCCTCTGTATAGCACTATCTGACCTTTTATTCAAACATAGCATGTTTGAATGGAGATAACTTCAGCTTGTCAGATAATTCCCTTAATACAGTATAAATAATACTTGGTGATATCTGTAAAAAATGAGTCAAAGCAACTGGACTTGCTGTATTTTTCTTGAAGATGTTTCACTGGTCATCCAACCAGCTTTCTCAATTCAGAAATGGTGATGTTTTACTTTACTAGTAAAATATGATTGCTATTGATGGTAGCCCAACAGTTTGATCTTTGTTATGGATGAACTGGAAAGCTTAAGTATCTTCTCACTGTGCATTGCTGTTGTTGTGCACAGTCTTCCAAATGCATAGGAGGGGTGGTTGCCTAGTGTTAGCCATTTTTCTCCTTGAACCTACCTGAGTCAGAACCTGCAACTAGTGTGATCAGTTTGTTTTTCCAGACCTTACGGCCCCATTCACACTGAGCGTCATGAAAATCGCGCGATTTTGAGCGAGATTGCGCGACGAGCGATATTGAGCGACTTGTCCCTATTGGGCTGTATGCAATCAGGAGCAATATCGCTCGAAATCGTTTGAAAAAAAGCTTCATGTAGGAGCGACAAGCTACAAGCGATATTGAGCGATATTGAGCAACGAGATGTGAACAGCTCCATTGAAATGGATTGGAGAAGCTACATAGAGCGATATCGCGTGGAAATATGAGCGAAATCGCTGCAAAAATCGCTCGATAAATCGCTCAGTGTGAATGGGGCCTACCAGAGTCAGTGGTAACCGAGTGTAAATGGACACCTGTCTGTTTATACACGGCTGCTCATTAACTAACATTGGGCATCCGTTTTGATCCGCTTGAAAAACTGACAGACGGATCTGATCGGACCACCCGTGTGAAAGGGGTCTTACTCATTGATTTTTATGTGATACAATATATTGTGTTTCAAATATTTTTTTTTGGCTTTCAGGTTGCCCCTGATCATGTCATCCCAGCACCTGAAGAGATCTATGTTTACAGTCCGCTTGGAAGTGCCTTTAAAATTGTCGGAGGAGACAACTCGGAGAAGAACTCCAGCATTGTTACAATGTATGTTTGTAAACCTAGCATTTAAATATAATTGTAAAAAAACAAAACAAAAATGGCAACCAGAATTAGGCAGTCTTGTCTGGTAAACACTTTGACGCTTTGACAGTTGCAGGCAGTTGGTTAGGGCCTGAAGGGCTCAAATAAATTGATGGGCAGTGCAAGGCAGACCAAATCTATTTGTCTGCTGCCTATGGGCACCGCTCAGCACTTGTACTACAAGGAGTGCTGTGGGAGAATATGATCACAATAATCATCTACAATGCAGCAATTTTCTTAGCTTTACTAAATATAATTGCAAGGCTGCCTAATGCTGGCTGATGACTTATTTTAACCACCTCCTGTCCATGGCCGTTCCTGAACGGTTGGACGGGAGCCTTATAGGAGCGGGAGAGCGCGTACACGAGTGAGGAAACTGTCAGCATGTAAACAGCCAGCGATGGCTGTTTACATTCAAGCGATGTACTAGCTGCGGGTGTGCGCCTCCCCCGTACCTCCGTCGCTGCCGTCCTCGTTGCTGCCGTTCTCGTTGCCGCCGCTGCGAGTCCCAAATTCCGTTGTGCCCGGTGCGGCTTGGACCGGCACGGCGACACTCAGTGGAGATCAAAGGGAGTTCAGTACACAACTCCCTTTGATCTCTTCTCGGTCCCCGAATGCAGGAAGTGATGTGTATTACATCACTTCCTGCATTCAGTGTTACTCTCTGGTTACAGATGCCGGTGAGAAGCTGATGAAGCAGATCTCTGCTTCTCTGGGGGTCCCTAGGGGGTCTTAGAGACCCCTGATGTCTCCATAAAGAAGACCTGTTATGTGAAGTGGCTATCACATAGGGGGTTTCTTAGTCCCCTATGTGTTAGCAATTAAGTTAAGTGTAAAAAGAAAGTCACAAATTAAAAAAAATGTAAAATAACACACATTTTGGGATGATAATAAATGTTTCATAACATTTCATAGGGAAACAGTTTTTAAAAAAAATTTAGGGTACCTTTTTTGTTATATAGTAAAAAATAAAAAGCCCAGTGGTGATTAAATACCACCAAAAGAAAGCTCTATCTGTCCCCAAAAAATGGTATAAAATTCATTTCAGTACAGCGTTGCATGACGGAATAAATGTCAGTCAAAGAACCACAGCGCTGAACACTGAAAAATGACCTGGCCAGGAAGGGGGTTTAACACCCCGGTCATCAAGTGGTTAATAGGACTTTTAAATCACTTTAGGGCTTGTAACTTTTTACTATGGCTTACTGACTGGATCATTCAGTTTCTACAAGGAAATAGAATGGTTCCTAGGTTCAAAAATTAATGCCTTCTGCCTATAATGTAGACATGTATACATTTTCACTATATGTTGTCTGTATTTATAATGCTGAACATTGCTTTTTTTGGTAGATTTATGATCTGGAATACCATGATGGGAACATCAATACTCAGTATTCCCTGGGGTATAAAACAGGTAATCCCAAAGAAAATATTCTCACATTTACAAGAAACGCATTCCTCCAATAGATTGTAAACTAAAAGATCTGTTTGATGAGAAGCCCTAGTACCAGATTTCTTATATGGGTAAGATCAGTCATTATTAAAATGGTTATCTTGCCTTGAATTATCTCCCAATACTCTGATTATGCTCATACTCATATTTATTTTAATTATAATGTATAGTATATAGTGTAAGGACCCTACTGACAGCTGCTGGTGTTCTCTGTGTCCAGCTCCAATGTCCATATAAAGGCCATATAACACATACAACATAACACATTGCAATTAAGTAAGCATACATGGCGCCGCTTGTTGCACAAATCGTATAGGAGCGTCACCAGTGGTGATGTTCCCTATACGCTTTGGGTGTAGAAAGCTGCCCCACCAGAGCACAAAGAAAGTGTTTCTGTTGGTGTCTATGTCAAAAAGGAGGTCAGGACAGTAATTGATGTACTTCACTGTCTGTATGAGTGTACTGTATAAATAGACATCCTTAGCCCTGGCCTGGATGTTGTTGTCTCACAGGCCCCTCATAGTGCTGGAACTGTGACACTCAGGCCAAGAGAGCTGCAGAACATGGACATAAAAGCATTTCACCTGTGACTTTAAATGTGTAGAACACGGCAGCAAAATGGGCCATATTCCAGTATCGCACTGCCCTGAACATTACTCTTTAAAGAAGAACCCCCCACACTGCAAGGGTTAAGTGCTCATTTTGCCTAGGGGACTCAAAGTTGTTTTACTTACCTGATCCCAGCTCCCACATTGGTCAGCGCTTACCTCTTTCCCCCTCTGCTCTGGCTATGGGAGTGTCCCTCAGCATCCTCATGTCTACTGCAGGTCAATGGACCTGCATAAGACGTGATGACGTCAGCAGTCCTTTGACCACCGGGGCCCAGGGGAGAAGAGACTGCGGGGAGCTGTCTAGCAGCCTGGAGGGAGCCGGCAGGACTGAGGATCAGGTAAATAAAACCGCTTTATTTGAGTCACATAGACAGGAAGAACACTTAACCCTTGCAGTGCGGGGGCAGCCCCACTGCAAGGGTAAGTTTTTTTTATTTGTCCGGAGTTCTTTAATATTTCCATGATGTGTTTACAGGATTCCCACCCAGTTTATATTTAACATTGTATTTCACTCAAAGCAATATTTTCCAGTTGCTTGGATACAAATATTATAGAACGCCTCGAGGTATATGGAACATCAGAAGACTGTAACTGAAATATGTCTATTAATCTGCTGATGAAATGTAGCTTTATTACTAGGGTTGCACAGATACCAAGTACAGTACTCGGTACAAGTACATGTACGATACTTTTCGAGCTCCAAGACTAGACTAGAGAAAAATTCAGGAGGCAGCTGTCATTTGTAAGGAGCACACGGAGCTCCTGGGATTCGTACATCTCGGTTTTAATGTACGATTTTGTTTTTATAAATATAAATAAAGGGATGCACAGATACCAGTTTTGCGAGTACGAGTACTGGTACTTGCCGAGTACTTACAAGTACGAGTACTGATACATTTTTGTTTATTGTCATGTGACAGTTTTTCTAAATCAATAAAGACTGATGATTTCAGGACAGTGGTGGAGCGCCAGAGCCAGGTCCCAGCTGTAACCGCTGCAACCCTGGTAGTTCTCAGGAAAATGCCAAGTATCTGCACTGGTACTCGAAAAGTATCTGTGCATCCCTATTTATTACCAATTTTACGCCCACTGATATTGTTTCTTGATGACATTATGTAACCATAAAATTGAATACAAATACAATTAGGAAAAAAAAAATCTTTCTATTTTTCAGGCTGGATTCACTACTGGAGTTGTTATAATCTTCTTGATGGGCCTTTTAACACTTTACTGCTGCTTCAGAGTTTTGAAATCACGAGGGAACATATGTGAGTGTTATGTTTTAATGAATTTCATCCATTCCCTTCAACATTTGTGTGTGTTATATATATATATATATATATTATACTTTGACTTTAAAGCTGAACTCCAGGTAGATATACAAGATTCAATTAAATACTGCTCTGTGGTCATTGATGCAACATAAACCTCTTTTTAATGCAAGCAGTGTAAATACATGAATTTAACCTGCTATCAGCTTCTTGCAGTCCTTGTACAGCAGGGCTGGAGTGTGAGAGGAAGAAGCAGTACATGGAGTTAATCAGTTTATGTTCTGACAAAAAGCTTGCTGATAAGAAGAGAAAGCACAGTGACAGAGTGATGAGCACTGTTCTGCTTCCCCTTTCACTGTCCAGTCACAGGCTGGGGACGGGCCCAGAACAACCTGGGCTCAGGATGTAGGACAAAGTAGGTTGAGAACATCTAATGGTAGCAAAAAAGTACTGTGGGGGAAATCTTTGATTGGAGGAAAATATTGCACCATCTTTTAATGGGCTCTTTGTTAGGACAAGGTATTTTGATAGTTATATGTACTGGTATGAATTTACACATATTGCATGTTAGTATTCACTGAAGTTCAAAAATGTGTTAAGCCGCCCGCACAGAGATCGCTTACAATAGGCATCTGCCGTCGGCATAACCAACACCAGTTATTTCTGACACTTCCACCTGAGTCACAACAGTTTTTTTTCTCTTTATGCTTGCTCTGTGGAAAGATAATCCCTTTTTGTTATGAAAAGAAGAAGAGTACTATGATCTTTGATATGGATTTTAAGTCTGCTGAAGGATCTGTACAGCCAATCTAAGCTTGGTGTTGAGCACTCGTCAAGCACCAGTTAGAGATCCTTGAATCGGTCACACTGCCAGATTAAATTAACATGATTTTCTGTTCTTCTGCAGCTTCTACTGACACCTCAAGCTGGGAGTTTCCAGATGTCTGCCAGTACTATTTTGGCTCATTTGGACGGTGGTCCAGCCTCCTGTTTTCTCTGGTGTCTCTTGTTGGAGCAATGATTGTCTATTGGGTGCTAATGTCCAACTTTCTATTTAATACTGGAAAATTTATTTATAGTAAGTAATAATTTCAGTATTCATCCTGTGTGGATCATTATGATATCACAAAGCCTCCACATGTTAGCTAACATAGGCAAGAGACAAAACGTATTATTTAATTTTTATTATTATTAATTATTAACAACACAATCATACTGAGCTAGACTTTCTCACTAATCATGAACTAACTTGTGGATTCTCTATAGGAATATATGATATATTCATGTTGGTGACAACAGTAGCTTACTCTCAGACTGCTCAGAGGGCTGGGCACACTTCATGTGATAAGCCAAGAGAGGCAAAGAGCTAAAGTATTCTAAAGAGAACTCGAAGTGGCAGAAAACTCAAGAAAAAAGCTGCACACATACACATTAATCTACGTTATAGCATTAACCTGCATTGCTTTGAAGGATAAGTGCACTTTAAAGTGCAATTACCCTTTTTGCCCCCTATCCCCTGACCTACCCTCCTCCTCCACAGAAGTAGACTTGCCTCAATCTGACGGCAATGGTTCCACTGTTTGTTTATATGTAGCGCCGCAAGTCTTCACTATCCTGCCTGTGCCTATGCATTACAGCCCCTTAGACTTCTGTGGGACTCTCTCTGGCTTATGGACCCAACCCCATAGAAGTCCCACATGCCCTTAAAAACAGGGATGACTGCTTCTTACATAAAAAATGTTAAATATTTGCATGCAACCTGGCCTACATACAGTCATGTAAAAAATAAAGTACGCCCCATGGAAATTGTTGACTCATTGTCAACATATTTGAACACGCATACATTGGATATTTATTCAAACCATGCTTACAGATAAGTGATATATTTTGGTATGATATACCGTATGGTATGGTATATTTTTGTAATGTGGAAAAAGTAAGTGCACCCTTGGCATCAAAAGCTGGTATTGCCCCTTGGGTAGAAACAACTTCCTTTAGGCATTTTGTATAACTGCCCACCGGTCTCTGACATCGTCTCTCTTGACAACTTCTCCACATAAAATTCCTCCAGTGGCACAAGGTTTGTGGGTTTCCTCATACGAACTGCCTGTTTCAAGCTATTTTTAGGAATCAAATCAGGGCTTTACTTTTCCTTATGACAAATCTGCATTCTTTTAGATCATGAAAATGAATGCACTGTCAGTTTAATGTGTCATTTCCATGTAAGTATATCACCTTTATTTGTAGGCAATATTTGAATCAAGATCTATTCAAATATGTTGATTAAGTCAACAATCTCAATGGGGTGTGTTACTTTTTCACATTTCTATATGATGCAGTCCCTATAGTTATTTCATCATAAAAAATTGACAGCAGAAAGAAAACATGTAATACTTAAGATTTATAATGCAATTATAGCAATATCACATTCCATATTTCTTGTCCTGTATGGTATATAGAAGATATATGCATAAGAATACAGAAGTCATAGGTTGCATAGGGTATGAGATTACTGCTTATCTGTAATCAATTGTTTACTGCCCCAGCCAAAAAACAAGAATGAAAAAGAAGGTCCCAACAGAGGAAATGTAAAAAGAGTTGTGTAGTAAGAAATCAAACTGGGTTCCATATATGAAGCATTGAAATGAAAAGTGTCGCCATACCAGCCACATACATAACATTTTTGTCTTTCATTTTGTAACTCGCCTTAGTCAAATGTCAAAGCAACAGTCTGACTGCACTAGACAATGCAGAGGTTTTTCTTTCAGACATTCGTCAGTTTTATACAGAGTAACAATATTCCTCACTCTTCTATAGACAAATGCAGTCAAACAGCTCAGATATCAGCAGTAATATTCATTAGAACTGTTGTTAAAGCGGATATTGGTAACCCCAGATTATAGATGTGACCGTGTTACTGATAAATGGCTATTTCTGATTATGTCACTAATCCTGTAGCTCAGTCACTTTATTTAATTGGATAAGAAAACAATAACATTTTTGTTTTACCTTTTCAGGTTCATGTGAATTGAGATGCTTTAAAATACGTTTCTGTTTCAGATTCTGTAAATCATGTCAACGTTACGGAGCTGGGACTAAGTACAAACGGTAGTGATAAAGGTAAAGTAGAACTATTAAATGACTTCCTCTGTTTATATCTCTAAATAATAAATCCTTCTGTCACTACAAGCTAAATTATCACATTGAAAACACAACTCAGAACCCAATTACCCAATACAGGAACATCTTTAAAGGGTCAAACCACACAAACCTCTCCAACATCTGTTTTTGGAGATGCTGGAGAGTTAAACCACTTGACAATTTCCTATATATCTTGGGGGCTCCTTGGGGGACTTATCTGCACTTGACTGGGTGTGAATACAGCAAGTTTGGTATTCTACCCTATTAAGTGTGTCAGGTTCCTGCCTATGCTGGCTTCAACTTCTGCTTCCTTCCTTCCTTCAGCCAATAACTCACTGTTATATGTACAGCTCTGGCTTTAAAACTGCCTGTCATAGGGTGGCATTTCCAGATGGATTGGATACATAATGTAAGATAACTGGACGTAATATCCTATGGGAAATATGTTTTCTAATGGATTGATGTGGGAACAGGGTATCCTTTAAACGGACACAGATGAATAATGTTTCCCTCAAACATCTTATTTTAGTTACTTACAGTTTCATCTTCTTTCTTTTAAATGAAACTTGCAGCAGGTCCTTTTAATTACCTTTTATTAGCAGATTTTTTTATGTAGTCCACATCCTACAGCAGGGAGATGCTGCTGCAGTGAGGATTCTCAGTGCCAGAATTATGTTGACAGTCACTGCAAAGGCATCAAGAGACAGTCCCCTCTGTGCTTTGACAGCTGTCATCATTTTCCAGGGTTAGTGTAAGCAATGCATTATATCAAGATTTGCAAGAATGATATCATATGAATTATTTCCATGATTTTAATGTTTTGTTTAGCTTGCATTAGAAAAATGTAATTTTCCAGTATATAAGTTTGATAAAGGTATATCATGTGTATTTTTGTCCTTTCTCTACAGTTATTTGCCCAAATAATCAAGATTCCACACCATCAAATGAAACAGTGGATTTCGTTTTTGGAAATAGTACAGGATTCACGGTATTCCAGACGTGGTGGAGTAAAACAAATACTGTTCCACTTTATCTGATCTTCATACTTCTGCCGCTTCTCAACTTCCGATCGCCATCCTTTTTTGCCAAATTCAACGTCTTAGGTATAAACCTGAAAAGCTTGGTTGTGTCTTTTCTGTCTATAACTCCAACAACCCCCCCCCAATTATTTTTCCCTTTCTTATTTTCTCTCCTTTCTTCCACTCTCTTCCATCACTCCCAACTCTAGAACATTCTACTAAAACAATATCTTATTCACTTCCCTTTTTTCCTATTATACTTCCTGCTACTGTAAGCTCAACCACCATTACAAACTCACCTATCTGTGATCTACTTGCCCATTTGCTAAGATAGGACGTTGTCCAGAGCAGTGATGGCAAACCTTTTTGAGCCAGAGTGCGCAAACTGGATCACTAAACCAACTTATGAGTCTCAAAGTGCCAACCCTGCAATTAGACCCGAATACTGATGATTTATTCAGAAAACACTTTATACGACTGTCTGAACTAATTATGTGCTTAAATCTTAGGAGAAAAATACAATACAAGACGTACCTTTGTACTGTGCTAATGAGTGTTCCATTGCAGTGTGCTACTAAGGTACATGTCATGCAGCACAATGCAAGCGAACAGTCTTTCTACACCTTGGAGTCGGTGATGGAGCACCAGGGTCCAGTACAACTGTGACAGCTGTGACCCTGGTAGCTCTGCCACTGACTCCAAATTGTAAAGGAACTAATCTCAGCAATATATTATACAGCAATGCAGAATACCGTCAACTATAGAAGACTACAAATCCCAACAATACATTACAGGGTCACAATCAGGCAGAGGCAGCAACCTCTAAACAGGCATATTAGACGGCCGATCGCAAGGGTCTCTCGGGGTCCTAGCGAGGAGGAAGCAGCCGTCTAATGCTTCTGTTTAGAGTCCGCTGCCTGATTGCGACCAGCCCGGATCGCGTACCAAGGCTATTTGCTTTGGGGGTTCCTGAACCTGGGCTCCCGTGCCAGCAGAGAGGGCCCCGCGTGCCCTACCTGGCACACGTGCCATAGGTTCGCCACCACTGATCTAGAGCATCTGTTAAAAGCCAATATCTTCTATGCAGCATCCCCCTGTTCCGGATAGATCTTGTCCATATTGCCTGTTATTTAATACTAGGGCTACGGAAATTAACGATTCATTTCTCGATTAATCGTTAAACTTTTTGATTGATTAAATTTCTTTTGATCGCTAATGAAAACACTCACCTCTCCGCCGGCTTCCGGGAGTCCCGTCGGAGATCCGGTGACGTCACGGACATCGACGTCACCATACTCCTCCCCCCTTCCTCAAGTGGCTCCGACGGCTAACGAAGGGAAGGGGGAGGAGTCCGGTGACGTCGAATGTCCGGTGATGGCTAACGAAGGGAAGGGGGGAGGAGTCCGGTGACGTCGATGTCCGTGACGTCACCGGACTCCTCTTCCCTTCGTTAGCCGACGGAGCCACTTGGCCGGTGAGTTTGCCCAAGGAACTTTCTGCACGAGCGCCAGCCAAGGCATTGGCCTATACACATACAGCACAGCAATGAAGTAATAAAATGAACTAGGATCACACTAATCCTGCACGTTATCATTCTGAGTTGCCCGACTCAAGCGACGGCCATATTGAGTGGGGCACGTGAGATTAATAAGGTGCTGGATTAGTGTGATCCTAGTTCATTTTATTACTTCATTGCTGTGCCAATGTAGTTGGATCTGTATGTGCGTTATAATTAATCGATTAAAAAATAATTCGATTAATCGAACACGAAAATTTTAATCAGTACCAGCCCTATTTAATACACTTCTCATGTCTCTTGTGTGCTATCTTGTGTTCTATAAACCAATAAATACCTTATAAAAGAAACCAGAAAAGCTTCAAAAGCCTGCTTCAAAGGTTATGTTTTGCAGCTTTACATGATTGCTAACAGGTTGAATGATATTCTGACATATATTTTTCGAAGACTGGTGAGAAAAGTCTACCAGGGCTATAGTAAAGCCAAATAATGATGTCTCCATTATTTATACTAACAATGGGAGTGGCGAGCGCACAACAGGTGTGGACAGTATGGAAAAACAATTTATACTGAATACCACGTTGCAGAGACCAGCTGAGGGTGGGTGAGGACTTGTGAGAGAAGAAGATACATTACTGCAGGGAAATCCACTGATGAAGACTTTCTGAGACATATAAAGTTGGCCATACAGGTTGCAGTCAGTTGTACATTCTCCTCTAGATCTACCAGCACTAATTTGAGTACCAACTTAAACAATCTATTCGATTTGTACCAGAAAGGCAGGCCCTAGTGCTACATTTTTGCTACACAACTGTTAATAGAATTACAATTAATATTTGGTGTTTTTTTTAGATAGAGGACATGGAGCATCCTATGTTAATATGTCTGAACATGAGGAGACTGTACACACTTCGTACAGATATGGCAATGCCAGGAATATGAATCTAGGACCCTAGTGCCTATACTGTTGCATTGCTGACTAATAGGGATGTGTGTGGGCTTGGTGCACATGTAGTTTTGGGGTGGGGAATGCCCTGGTCGCAGCTGATTGGGCTAGGAGAGTTTTGCGAGGGCTTGGTGAACTCTGTTCGCACCAAGCCCATACACATTCATACTGACCACTATTATAATGTGCAGGGATGAAAAACAGTATGTTATTAGTGTGTGTTCTGAAAAATGGTATAATCTGATTTTTTTTCCCATTATAGGCACCACATCTGTACTATACCTGGTATCACTAATTACATATAAAGCTGCTCGCATTGGATTCCACTTTGACTTTCAATGGGATGAACTCCAAAAATATTTTGTTCCTGGTATGAAATATATGTAATATGGTTGAATATTTAACTGATATTATTTTGTATATATATTTTTATAATTATTATTTATGTTGTTGGGGGGATGGGCAGGCTCAACTGGCAGTGGCAGCGGTAAATAATGTGCAAGAAAGGAACGCCCAGGAGCAATCCAAGCATGTTTGATATGCACTTTCATTCAGCACGTTAGCAAACAAACAGTTTTATTTGAGCCACTAACTAAACTGGGTCAGTTTATGACTAACCTTAATGGGTTCCCCAAAACAAACTGGTAGCACATGTACGTTTTTAATGTTCTGTCTGCAGTCAACCTTTTCACCAAGCAGCAGGCTCCCACGGTGAGAGTGAGGGAGCACTGAGCATCAGTCAGATCATATACAAAAAGGCCTGTGGCCAGCTGAGACTAATAATGAGGTCTGGCTGCCAGGTGAGTTGTGTACCCAGGAATGGAGGTTTATTCCCACCAAAAGCTCTACAAAGCCCCCAGGCTCTATAATAAAACTTATTAAGATTCTGAGAAAACAAGTTTGTTTTCTCTACAGCAGTCATAAATCCTGGAGCCCCCTCACAATGTGAGAAATCTCAGTGACACATATATACCATCCACAATTCTGCCCGCCAAGGCCTCACAATATATATTGTCTAAACAACTGCACACTTTCAAGGTATATGTTAGTTTAAATAAAGCTTGGAAGGAAGTGTGCTGCAACTTGTTGCCTGAACTCTATATGGTAGGAGGCAGCCATTGGAAGCCCTCTTGCGGCATTTGCACACTTTTGATATTGGATGCATGAATACCGCTTTACTTATGGATGAAATATATATAAATAGTTCTTTAAGCATTCGCTCATATGAACAGCTTTACCTGATAACTTTTTTTTTCTTTTATTAGAATTTAGGTTATCGTTTCCGCAATTAACTGGAATCCTGACACTTGCTTTCTTCATTCACAACTGTATCATCACGCTGCTAAAGAACAACAGGAACCCTGAAAATAATGTAAGTTCCATCAACTGCAAACAAAATCACAGTTTGCACTACGCATGCATTTCGTTGTCGTGTGTGGGAATGCTGTAACAATTTATTTTAATATACTTCATTATTTTAGAATTTTTTATTTATTTTTCTAACTTTATTGATAACAAGCCCCCATTTGTGACAGCATTGGGCAGGTGACAATTACTCTTTATGGATACATCAAGGGGCTATTAGACCTCTACAGACTGTGATGTTTATCTAGCTGTGGGATTTTGACAGCAGTGCACCCAGAATTGCTCAGACCTGAGCACTTCTGAGTTCAAACTCTGCAGAAGATATGGGAAGCAGACAGATGGTCCCCAGTGTACTCCCGTTCGCTATCTTTACAGTGTTTATTGTGGTTCCAGGAGTGGAAGAGCCTTAGAACTTTATAGGTGCAACACATTGCAAGTCCCAGGTCTACAGCTGTCCAGATCACTTTTACTACAGTGCTGGGAGCATGCAAAACAAAACAAAAAAGAGAAATGGCTGCTAGTGCAGCCATGAACTTGTTTTAACCGTTTCAATATGGGATACACCCAAGGTCCTAAACTGGTTAAAGAGCATTAATTAAGACTGAACTGTGACATGATTCTGAATATTCAGTTGTACACTACTCTAAGTCTGCTGTCTTATGAACGATTTATATTTGTTACTTTTTTTTTTTTAATTCTTAAAGAATGAATAGTTGGTTACAACAATGAAAAACCAGAATAAAATAGGACAAACAGAATGAGAAATACCAAATGTCATATGTAACAAAATGGAGAAATAAAATACATAGACAACATAACTGAATGGGGTCCAACTATAATTTTGCCAGTTGGGGTAACAACATAAAAGATAAGACCATGTGTAAAAATAGAGCCCCTAGAAACCCATTGGAGAACTCTCGGAAGGAATCTCCACCAGGGGACTCAGGGGCGGAAGAGGAAAGGCAAAAACAGTCCCAAAAGGGCTACTAGGAAGGGAGAAAGAAAAAAGAGAACAGAGGAGAAGGACTTGTTTGTTACTTTTTTTTAGCTTTACCTACTCTATCTGAGGCTGACACATCCGCTTCTTTCAGGGGGTCAAATGTCACCTGAGATCTTCCTCACCACACAGCTTCTTTGTGCACAAACAAAAGCACATTTTCTGGTAGAGGGAAGAAGGCTGAGAACTTTTCACAATGTTAATGATATCCGTGCTTTCCTTTTCCAGTGACTACCACACCTATCATTCCTTACACAGGCTTCACGGGAACATGAAGTAAGGGTAACTTTCCCTAAAGGGGTCACAGACAGAAATAAATACCTGACGTTTAAGCCTTCCTCACTCTATCAAAAGTTAAAAAATGAAATGTTGGAGTTGGGCTTTAAGAAGGTTAATAATATGGCCTGATTGGGTAGTTGCCCTTGACTTTCAGGATCAGTGGCCCAGCTATAGCCTTCATGTAAAGTTTGGATGGAGGGGCTTAGAGAATTCCCCAATGAAGAGGAGGAGAAGCTCAGTTATTATTTGCAATAGTGAATAATTAAATGACATTTGTAATTTTCTTCCTACAGGTCAGAGACCTCTCAGTTGCCTATCTGCTGGTTGGATTAACATATATGTATGTAGGCATCATGATATTTGGCTTATTTCCTTCCCCTCCGCTGGATAAAGAATGCATTCAAGAAGTGAGTGTAAAACAGTATTATCCGTCTGATAAGTGTGGAGGCTGTGTGGCATCCATGAAAGTGTGAACCAGCCTTGCCAAATATAAAACATGCTAATGGACATTATAGATTTCACTGGGCAGTTGGGGGATGTTTTTGTAAATGATCTAGATGGATGAGTGATAAGTGTATGGCTATAAATATGATTTTTATTTATTTTTTTGCAGTTCAGTTTAGCAGGAATCACATTTAATCCTTTTGTTAGCATTTGAACCAGTACATTGATTTCTGATCACTTGATGGTTCATTATTCTTACACAATGCTGTCACAGTTGCAGTATGTTTAAAATAAGGACATCCTTAGCAGAGGTAATCTGGGCTTGGATATTGGTGATGTTAGGCCTGAGCCACCAAAATACCATTCTAGGAGAACATCAAGGGATTTAAACCTTCCCCACTCTTAACTAAAAAAGAAAAACAAAGTTTTGGTTTGAGTTGGACATTAAATCATGATGATTGTTATTATTCTCAGCAAGCTATTTTGATTTGCACAAGTTAAGCTCATAATCTTATCTGTTTCTTGAATGTAACTTTATCTTTGCGTTTTCCATCTAGAACTTTCTAGATAATTTTCCCAGCAATGACATCCTGTCATTTATCGCAAGAATATTCTTACTGTTTCAAATGATGACAGTGTACCCACTGCTGGGATATCTGGTTAGAGTACAACTCTTGGGACATATCTTTGGAAACACCTATCCAAGGTAGGTGAGACGTTAACAGGTGACTTCATATATATGCTTTGGTCACAAGAACTATTTACTCCTGCCATCGTACTGACAAATGTATGTATTCAGCCTGTATGCATGTGTTTTAGATTCATTTTTGATGCATTTGTTAACAAACCTTTTACAACCAGATTCATTCACATTTCTATGCCTTTTCTATTGGCATCATTGTGCAGATTTGCCTCTTTTTTTTTCTTTCTGCATGGTAGTAACACTTATTATAGAGATTTAACAAACAAAAATGCAGCATGTCCTATATTTAAAAAAAACATGCTAAGTCAGGGGCGGATCTAGAGTCTAGTTTCGGGAGGGGCACTGCCAGAAAATAAGGTGTTGCTTACAGAACGGAATATTGCAAAAATACATTATGTTGCAGTTGTGTATGTATAACAGGAATTGTGCTGTTATACATAACAAAAAAGGACATAGCTGGATGGACAGCAGGGCAGAGAGCCCAGGAATCATAAGAGAGGAGCCTGAGGAGAGCCAAAAGAAATGTCGGACAACCTCGAGAAGACCTGTCAGAGTCTGTAAGGAGAGAGCTGCTATGCATGGTAGAGTGTAGCCTGGTTAGTGGGAGAGAGAGATCTCCAGGGACCCACAAGGCCACCACGGAAGACTAGTAGGTAGCAAGACATGGGGCTTTTAAGGTACTATGTGCAACAGCAGAACAGAGTTTCCCTGTAGGGATATAGACATGTGTGAACAGGCCCTTAATCTACACGGAATGTTAGGGGTACCCACATTCCAGGCGATCCATATGTTCCCAGGAGATGAATGAAAAGTAGAAGCCTCCTCAAATGCTCTGCAATTGCTACAAGTGCAAGCGGGCCAGGAAATAAATGTCTGATTTGTGATGCAGTTTGTTGGGGGTTTAGCCCTTTATTAATTAGATGTTGTATATAGATAGTACACCATAAGAGATCTCTGAAATGTTTATGTCACATATATTAACATGTACATTCTTTTCCAGTTTTCTACATGTTCTGGGATTAAACATAGCTGTTGTTGCTGTGGGAGTTGTCATGGCGAAATTCTACCCCAACATCGGCGGAATTATTAGGTAGGAGTTTTTCATTTCAGTCTACTCATTTAGATTTGCAGCATAACATGTACAGTCATGGCCAAAAATATTGGCACCCCTGCATTCCTGTCAGATAATGCACCACTTCGGGCAGAAAATTGTTGCAATTACAAATGTTTAGGCATTCTCATGTTTATTCCTTTTGTTTGTATTGGTATGACACAAAAACGTGGAGGGAAAAAAAGCCAAATCTGACACATTCCACGCAAAACTCCAAAAATGGACTGGACAAAATTATTGACACCTTCTCCAAATTGCAAGAAATAATTGCATTCCAAGTTTTTGTGGAAAAGCATGGACATCTGAAGGTTACAAGTCCATCTCCAGAGATCTTAATGTTCCTGTTTCCACTGTGCACAACATTGTCAAGACGTAATTGCAACAATTTTCTGCCCAAAGTGGTGCATTATCTGACAGACATGCAGGGGTGCCAATATTTTTGGCCATGACTGTATATCCACACAAAATAAAAAATAACATAGCTAAGTACACATGGTGTATCAATTCTATATCCAGATCTATTTTCAATTAACACCATTCCCCAACGTCTATGCCCACTGTCCCTATTTTAATTGGTGACCATTGTCACATAGAAAGTGAGGTGTAATCCAAAATTTTAGGGTTTTTATCGGAACAAGTGTTGTGAGAAAGTCTGCCAGTGGAAATACCTGTTTAGGTAACAGCCGTCAATGTTAGGATTTCTCCAACTTACGAGAGTTTGTGTTCTCTTCTTCTCATTTTTTGGTGTGTGTTAAAGGAAGTGGTTGGGGGATCTCCATGAAAAATAATATACATAAATTTAGGTGCACTCCATGCAGTGCATCAAGCTGAAAAACAGGTTCCACAGTGACAGAACAACTGATGGCTCCATTGTAGTCAAACCCAGAAGAGTACGTAAGCAGTGCAACAATATGCTAGCCAAGGTCTCTTATCTGTTACATAAAGGAGCGAGCTTGGTGAGCATTTTCACATGCATCGTCTGCCTGATGAGAGATGTGTCCAGTACCAACGTAGAGCTAGTAGGGTACTAGGAAATTGGCACTTCTGGAAGTGTCGGATTCTGCAGATTCTTCAGCCAGCATTTTCACTACAGTGTAGATCCGCAGTACAGGAAGCAGGGTAGGTGAGTGTTAGATTTTGGTCTCAGTAACATAGTCACTTTAACTCTGCCGTAATTTAGCAGTGATGCTGACAGCATCCCTTTAAACTGATAGACCTTTTAAGGAGAATCTTAAAAAAAAACCTCATATAACATAAAAAGTATGATAGAGAAACCCTGTGAATGGGAGAAAACAATGTGAACCTGCTGTCTACACATCCAGTTAGACCTCTGTGCTGTTCTTGGAAAGAAAGGTGTAAAGTGATCATTTGTTTTGAGCCACTGCTTTGTTTTTTCCTTGCTCCTGTTTTTCATCAGTTGGTAATCTTACCGCTTACAACTTACTCATAGCCAATCAACCTAATCTATTATCCAGCAGACAATTTAAGGAGTTAGGAAATATATGCTTCTGATGACAATAGGAAAGCCTGGAATTTTGTATGTCTATTTGGCTACCAGTCACCTGGGAATTGTCCAGTCCTCAGCAATGGTGCCCATAGAAAAAAGGTCTTCTTGTTCCAATGCAGCCAGTTATGATTGTTTAGGAATGGTCATATGTTTGTAGGGCTCCTCAAGTTCCCTAGAAATTCCCTGACTGACCCTTCTGGGGATAGGGGGTAAAGGGTTGGAGAAGTTGGCTTTTCCCAGGCAGTTGCTGATGTGAGATAACACAGTGCTAGTATTGCCTGGCATTGCTCCCCCTAAGTACACATTCTTTCTTTAATGTACCTTTATTTTATCAGCGTTGTGATTATTTAATTTTTACCTTCCCAGGTTTTCCGGAGCTGCCTGCGGCCTCGCGTTTGTCTTTGTATACCCTTGTTTGATCCATATGATCGCTCTTTATCGCAACCAGCGACTCACGTGGTATTCTGCTGTCATACATATCTCTATCATCATACTAGGTGTTGGGAACCTCGTTGCACAGTTTCTCATATAAAGCTCAGTGTATACATCTGCACCAACAGCTGCTATATCTACAGAGACGTCACTAGAAGAAGAAGAATGCAGTTACATAACATGACCTGTTCCAGCACAAGAAAACACTATGAAAGAGATCACTCTGTGCTCTATATGCTTTTCCTGGTGACAGATGTCACACATTGCAGTCCATTCCTCAGTATTGTTACTGTGCGTGTGTGTAAAGGGGTGGGGCGTGTCTCGTTCTAATTATTTGTGATGTCATGTCAAACTGTACAACAATTAAATTCCAGTTCTGTAGAGATGGTAAAAGTAAAATGGACATCAAAATATGTAGAGGTCCTATTTAAAGTGTATGTCTGTGCAAAATAAAAAAGAACACAGTACATCTCTGCAATACATATATATATCAACATGCTTTGTCTCTGTTAAAAACACTGCTAGAACATAAAAAAACCTCGATCCTGCCAGAAATCTATTGAGCTCCCCACTTCCTGGTAACTCCCTGCCTCCGCTGCACGGATATCCCAAGCAGTGTTGTCAACCCTGCCTAAGTTATCCACTGATTACAGAACACTTCCCCCATATGTTACAGGGATTGAGGGGGGTTCTGTAGTTGCCTGTGTGTGTCTGTGTTTCCATTCCAGAAGCCCAGCACAGCCCAATAACAGCTGAAAACCCCCAGTGTGTCCCACACCAAACCCAGCAGGCTAAACAATAACAGTAACCATGCCAATCTATTTATAGCTAGCTTTTTAGGTAAGGTGCACACATAAGGGCTTTGGACAGTACAAGCACAACACTTTCCCAGCACACTGACCAACTAGTCTGGGGAAAAAACACATTAGATTGTCTAACAATGCATTCAAAACAGTTTTTAGTTGCACACTTGCAAACATGTGGATGCCACACTACCTCATCCAGGTTCCTCTCTGTAGTGTTGTCCTAACTGTAAGACCCTCCATTTTGGAGAATATATTGCAATAGAGAAATTTAAGTAGCCCATTCCTTCATTCCAAGGCACAGGGACATTCCAGAAGTCCAGCACAATCCGATGGCAGCTAAAGAACCCCAGTGTGTCCCCACTCTCTAGATAAACCGACTCACCTGATACAGTGTATCAGATTATCTCCGACCTGGTGGCTCAGGGATCCATCTATTGAGTTAGGGAAATCCTTCCTTTCGCTTTCTCTGTAGATCCTAATAGGGATGCCAGCCTGTCTGGCTGGGGAGGAGTCATAGGCATAGTGGCAGTGCAGGGGCTTGATTACCAGAGGAATCTCATCCCCCATTGATGTTCTGGAGCTCTAAGCGATTGGTTGCTCCAACGATGGACACCTGACTGGTGGGTCATCCAATAGGGATTCAATCAGACAATGGCATGATCCTCATAGCTCTGAACCAGCCTAGGCGGTTGTGGTATTCTCACCTGAAGGAACTTCTGGCAGACTCTCCGTGGGCTTCTCCAGATTGGTCTGATTGCCTTTCCCAAGGGCTTGTTTACTTCTCTGCTTCATGGTCACTGGATTTAACAGCATGGCTGTTGAAACCAACATCTTGTGGGGCAGGGGTCCTTTAGATTGAATAACTCCCATGCTGTTCAAGCTAGTAATCTTACATCCCAAAGGTCTGTCATTGTAGATGGGTGGCATATTTCCCTGGTGCAAGGTGAGAGGTTTTCACCCCTGCACATAATCCAAGAAACTAACCTTATCCTTTTTGTGATTACATGTGGATCAGCATTTGGCCCTTAGTACATTTATGGGGCATTTCTTGACTCTAGTCTCCCATTCATTAGCCCTTTGTACATGGTGTCCCATGTACCTCCTTCTGTGCAATCATTGGTGACTCCATGGGATTTTAATCTGGTTCTGATGGTGCTTTAAAAACTACCTATTAGGGATATTTCCCTTTCCACTATTCCTCACAAGGTAGCATTCCTTGTTGTCATCACTCCTGTGAGGCATGTGATTGAGCTGCCAGTCTTGTCCTGTATAATACACTTCTGGTCTTACATGAAGACAAGGTGGTGTTGATGCCTAGAGCCTCTTCCTTTCTTTAGGTGGTTTTGGCCTTACACCTCAACTAAGACATTGTTCTTCAGTCCCTCTATATGGCTTCAGGTCTTTAGAAGGAGATCTTTCTTCACTGCCTGGATGTGGTTTGTGCTGTGCGTGTCTATCTCACAGCCACTGCTTTCTTTTAAAAAGTCTGGCTTACCCTTTGTCATCCCTGATGGTTTCTGAAAAGGGGAACCAGCTTCTCGTTCCACCATCTTTTGGTGGCTCAGATGTATCTTCATTTCAGCTTCGTATTAAAGGAGAACTATGAGGTGAGTGCTTTTCACTCACCTCATAGTTCTAGCCGACCTGTGACAATGAGACTGTCACAGGTCGGCTCAGTAGATCGGGAGGTGAGCGAACACATACCGGGTTCGCTCACCTCTCGATCCTGTCACGGCTCTCTGCCGTGACAGGGGGAGGGGCTGCATTCCCGTCTCCCCGCTCCGATCTGCCAGCGCTGACTGGCGGAACGGACGGGGGAGGGGGCGGGTACAGCTGGCTCTGCCTCTAGATAGGCAGAGCCAGCTGTCACTCAAGCAGCTGGGCGGATCCCGTCATCTACGTCGGGATCCGCTCCGGCGTCCCAGTATACCGCGAGCTGTAGCTCGCAGTATACTGAGCTTAGGGTAACGGGAGGACGCTAGTTTGTGTCCTCCCGTTACCCTAAGGAGAACTATGGGGAAAAACACTGACCCCATAGTTCTCCTTTAAGGAACGGGCTCTACCATTTTTCTGTTAAGACACACACTACTAGTTCCGTCAGTGGTTTGTGGACTTTTGGGCAGCTGGTTACCATTCCCAGATCACAATACTGTCACTTTGTCTCCTGGTTTCTTGTTCTACTAATTTCTATTTTGCCTAGATATGCACTTTAACGAGGTTCTTCATGAAAAGGTTAAACTGTTCTCACTTATGAAGGGAGCCTATACAGTTATTTACAGGTTTCACATTACTAACTTCGACAATTCCACTGGTGTGATGGACTGCTTTTTGAGAAAGGTGCTGCTGTTAGATACCTTTGAACAGTTTCTTGGATTTGTATTATTTTCTGATGTACATTTTAGAACAAAAGTGTTAAAAGAACCAAAAGGTTTATATTGTGCTCACCTGTAATATTTGTCTGTACAATGTTTCAAACATCCACTGATGTGATGCTGACACACTGATATGGGAGTCCCTACACCGACGGCTAAAATGAAAGAGAAGGCATTGATCAGGAAGAAGTTGGATAACAAGGTTAGATCTGCAGTAGGTGTTTCTGTGCAGGGTAGGATTGATGTTTCAGGCAATGGGGAAAAGTGCTTAAAAGGCACACAGAGATCAGACATTGAACAGTAACTACATTAAAAAAAAAACTGCAAAGTTTAGTCTTCTTAAAGCAGTCATGTAAATTTGGGAAAACAGTTTTTTTGCAAATAGAAAAAAGACTGTTATAATGGGTTGAAACAAAATTGGTGTTTGCCCAGAGTTCTCTTTTAATAAAACACACCTGGAACATTGGTATGCCATGTTCATTGCAGCTAAAACAGATTTGCTGACATTATCCTAATTACATTAAACTCCTAAAGTCTAAGGCTGGGTTCACACCTGGGCATATAGAATATGCTCGTTTCGTGCCGCGCGTTTTTACTGTGATTCGTCGTAAAAAACGTGCGTTTCCAAGGGCTACTTGGCTGTATCCCAATGGATATGCGTGGCAAATACGCCCCAAAGAAGCTCCTGTACTGTACCCAGGTGGGAACCATGCCCATGGGCAATCATTGGTCTTCACATGTTGAGCGTTTTACAGAGCGTAGGAACGTAAAACGCCCAGGTGTGAACCAGGCCTAACACATGATTTGTGTTAGGCCTCATTGGTCCTTGCACAGTTTTGTTAGAACTGACTTTACATGAAAAAAATAACAAAATGAAAATAACCTCTTGTGACATGTGTGAAAAGATTGTAATGGTCTTGACATTTTCAGTTTAAATATCTATGTGAATTCTAATTCTTTAATTTTATGACAAATAGCAACAGTACTGGTTAGTTTGTATTATGTAAATCATTGGCAGATGTCAGGTTGATATTCCTTCCACAAAATCCTTGTTCTGAGCTACACTTCCCCTGCAGTGTTTAGACCAATGTAATCAGTAGGGTGCTCAAAATGACCATCGTTGGTGCAAAGTGGAAGTCTAATAGGTAGTCACCAACACTTCAAAATGTCAATTTAGTACAATTATTGTAAACATATAATGTCACATAGGTCCTATAGCCAATGTTTTGGGGCAAAACAGGGTCCTCTTCCTCAGGGGTGTCATGTACAAAAGCAACCCTTTCACAGGAGAACAAGCACCATAAGTCACCTGGACATTCTGGCCCATATGGGCACTTAGGGCAAAACCTGTAGGGAAAGACCGTGAAACTAAAGGTATGCCTTGGTGCCTTAGGGTGCTTGCTCTTCCCTAACACTTGAGTTATTCCTTGAGGGCTCCTTTTCCAGAAATTCTCCAGAATGGTTACTAAAGAGATAGGCCTGCTCCATTAAACCATCCAGTACTATCATAAGGTCCCATGGAAATTCAGTTGTCCTATGGGTCTCAGTCTTGTGAGTGCTTTGAAAAATCATGTAATGTGTTGTCAGCCAACTTTCTGTCATTATCGATAAGGCTGCTGTGTCCAAAGATGCTGGTGGCAAGTCCACTGTTTGCGAGCCTTTGGAGGAAGTTCAAAACTGACAAATATTGTGACGGTTCCATAAGTTTGTTTTGGCCCTGTGGCAATCGGCCCTCCAGACCATAATGAAAATGGATGTTGTCACCTGCTTTCTACTCTGTAGGGGGGTTAATACTTTTTCTAAAAATGTTCTTCCTTTGAGAATCTTCTATTCAGGATCCATGTGGAAAGTCATTGTTCCTGAAGATGTGGATGCATAATCCAAGAATCATGCTTTCCTTGCCCACAAAGAGGCTACTGGAATCACCTTGCACTGTTCTGAACCGATTTTCCTAATAACTTTGCTAAAAAGAATCTTTGTTGGAAAGGAGTAAGACAGGTAGAAGTCCCAAGGGTGAGCAAGTGTGTCCAGACCCCTGGGGTTCCCTTGAGTGTATGGGGAGAATGATTCCACCTTCTTGTATTTGATAGTAGCAAAAAGGTACATTTTGGTGAGGTTCCCCATCAAGATA